ATAAAAAATATTTTTAAAAAAACCATGTTCATTATATAACACTTGGGGAAAAGAAGACAGTTCACTTAAACAAAAAAATTGTCCATAAATATTTAAAACATTTACATATGGGCACATATGTGTACCTTGTTTACCATGATATCCTTTTGGTCTAAGAACAGTGCCTAAGAAATAATAAGATCTAACTAATATTGAATGAATAAGTGAACAATTATTATTATGCCAGAGGCCTGGTACATGAAATTCATGCCCGGGGTGGTGTCCCTCAGCCCGGCCTGCAACCTCTCCAATCTGGGACCCCTTGGGGAATGTCTGACTGCGGGTTAGACCCAATCCCTGTGGGATCAGGCATAAACCCAGCAGTCGGACATCCCTCTCTCACTCTGGAACTGCTGGCTCCTAACCGCTCGCCTGCCTGCCTGCCTGATTGCCCCTAACCACTTCTGCCTGCCAGCCTGATCGCCTTCTTACTGCTCCCCTGCTGGCCTGATTGATGCCTAACTGCTCCCCTGCTGGCCTGATTGCCCCCAACTACCCTCCCCTGCAGGCCTGGTCACCCCAACTGCCCTCCCCTGCCGGCCATCTTGTGGTGGCATCTTGTGAGGCCACTTAGGCTTTTATTATATAGGATTTGAATTATAATGTCAATATGGTGTTGCTTATATAAATTGATATTATATTGTTAGCATTTTATTGTAAAAAATCTGAATTTTAAAATTTGTTTTTATTAATTCTACTAGAGACACAGTGCATGACATTCGTGCACTGGGGTGGGGGGGTGTCCCTCAGCCTGGCCTGCACCTTCTCACAGCCTGGAACCCCTCGGGGGATGTACCTCATCTGGCAGTCAGACATCCCTCTCGCAGTCTGGGACCCTTCGCTCCTTACTGCCCACCTGCAGCAGAAGTGGGAAAGGCTCCCGCTGCCACCACTGCGTTGGCCAGCTGTGTGCCCGGCTTCTGACTGAGCAGCACTCTCTCTGTGGGAGCACACTGAACACCAGAGGCAGCTCCTGTGTTGAGCATCTGCCCCTGGTGGTCAGTGCATGTCATAGCAACCAGTCTTTCTGCTGTTCGGCCAATTTGCATATTAGCCTTTTATTATATAGGATAATTTTGTAGACAGCATATAGTTATATCCTGCCAATCTTTGCTTTTGGGAAATGTAGTTTGCTTACATTTAAAGTAATTACTGATAGTGAAAGACTTATTGCTGCCATTTTGTTAATTGTTTTCTTGGTATCATACCTTTTATTTTTGACCTTCATTTCCACTTTTAAAGCTTTCTTTTGTGTTTGGTTGGTGTTTTGTGTGTGTGCGTGTTTTTTTGTAGCGATATGTTTTGATTCTCTTCTCATTTCCGTCTGTGTATATACTATGAATTGCATATTTATATATATAAAAGGCTAATATACTAAGTGTCTGACCATTCGACCGTTCAACTGGTAGCTATGCCATGCATTGACCATCAAGGGGCAGATGCACGAAGCACAGGCATGGAAACATGGGACAGACTGATGAATCTCAGAGGGAATGGGGAGGTTGGAGGGTGGGAAGAGATTAACCAAACATCTTATATGCATACTAGAGGCCTGGTGCACAGATTTATGCTCCGGTGGGGTCCGTCGGCCTAGCCTGCGGGGATTGGGCTGAAACCCACAGTCTCACATACCCCGAGGGGTCCTGAATTGTGAGAGGGTGCAGGCCAGACTGAGGGACCCCACTGCAACACGATCCATGCACCGGGGCTCTAGTATTACATGTAATGTCTTAATGTTATAACAATATATTTTAATAATAACTTAACTTTAATTGCTTATAAAAACCCTATTTCTTGATAAATTTAAGAAATAATAAAGATATATGAGGAAGCCGAAACCGGTTTGGCTCAAAGGATGGAGCGTCAGTCTGCGGACTGCAAGGTCCCAGGTTCGATTCTGGTCAAGGGCATGTACCTGGGTTGTGGGCACATCCCAGGTAGGAGATGTGCAGGAGGCAGCTGATCAATGTTTCTCTCTCGTCAATGTTTCTAACTCTCTATCTCTCTCCCTTCCTCTCTGTAAAAAATCAATAAAATATATATTTTTTAAAAGATATATAAAGAAAGTAAAAAAGTAAAGACTTGCTTCCACAACATACAAAGGTCTCAAACTCAATAAAAAGGAAACAACCCACTTGAAAAATTGGGAAAAGATCTGAACAGTTTACTTGAGAGACTCACAGTTAGCAAAAGAAGTACAAAAAGGTACTCAATATTACTTGTTATTAGGGAGTCTATAAATAAATAAACAAATTCCTTTCCAGCTACATCTCACCCCCCACTGAATGTTGCCAACAAGTTTCACTCTTTTCCTTCTGTTCCAGAGGGGCTGAGACTCCGGCAATACCTCCTCCCAACCTTGGGGCACCACATCAGAGAAGGGGGTGCAAAAGTGAGCAGAACATCACAACATGCCCTGCCTTTCTGAGTGTGGCTTTAGCTGTTAGGGCATTTGTTGGTTGCTGCAGATCCTTGACTATTTCAAGAGTCCCAACAAAGCCATTTTAGTCTGTTTCCTTGATTTTTCTCTGAAGGAATAGGGGCTGGACCTTCCCAGTCTGTTTCTTATGAATTTTACCATTAGAGGTCACTTAATTTTAAAAATTAATTTCCCCAAATATTCAGAACCTAAATTAGCCTCTTTAATGTGTAGCAATTATAATAATAGTCATATTTATTGAAAACCTACTGTGCCAGGCACTGTTATGTACACTTTATTCATTAAATAACTCATTTAGACTTTATGACCTGTTAGGTAATATTGTCCCCACTTTGTACACGAGAATGCTAGGGTACACAGGGGAATGCACTGTCTACATGGAACTAAGACACATGGGGATGGAGATTTAAGTCTTCACTTGGAGACATGAACCTATTCATGGTTTTATGTGACTTGGGAGGAGGTGGCTACAGTAGACCAGAAGAAGGTGGCTGGGTCACACTCTGCCCCTAACTTTTCTGGACTCTTTAAATGATTTAAAATGGGGTCCTAGGCCCTGAGCTATGCTCACACTGGAATGTGACTGTGACAGTGGATTGGGGGAAATAAGTGCCCTTTTCCTCTGAAGCAGGAAGTAACACATGGTGTGTGATCTTGACCAGGAAGGCAAGAGAGGCCCCAACCCAGCCCTGTGGTGGGTGAACAGCGAAGGAGACGAAGTGAAGTGGAGTTTCAGAGAGCTGACAGACTTCACCTGCCGCGCAGCCAACGTCTTCACGCAGACCTGTGGCCTGCAGCAGGGAGACCGTCTCGCCTTGATTCTGCCTCGAGTGCCTGAGTGGTGGCTGGTGGCCGTGGGCTGCATCCGAACAGGTCAGTGACTCAGAGACCGGTAGAGACCTTAGGGATGTCCTGGAGCCAACTGGTCCTGGAACACTAGGTGCTTCCTCTTCCCTACATTCTTTCTTCTTCACAGTCTTTCTCTTTCTCAGACTCCCTCACATATATTACCCCTTATCCCCCACTCTCTCCCTCACCCTCACATCTGCTCAAACACAATGTCTCACACACACACACTTTCTCTTGCACAGTCTCAGACGTTATTCCTTTTATGAAATTCATCAACTGTGAACCTTTTGCCATATTGGAGCCCCCACTGAGTTAGTAAAGAGTCAGTTGCACTCAATGTGACACCCATAAATACCATGTAAATACCTATAAACCCTGGATCCCAGACATTTCCTTCACCATCACCAGAGCAGGCTTATCAAACAAGAAGTCTGACATTGGTACAATATATGTTACCTGGTAGCTATCCATAGTCAACAGTCCCCAACTGCCTTCATCACGTCCCTGACAGCCACTTCTTTCTTTAAGTCCAAAATCCAATTGAGGATCATGTATTGCATTTAGGTGTCATGTCTTCTCAGTCTCCTTTCATCTAGAAGGGCTCTCTAGCCTTTTCTGCACGGTGATGACATTTTTGAAGAGTCTATGCCAGTTGCTTTGCAGGAGGTGCACACAAATTGGTATTTCACACTCTTGCTTCATGATTATATCCATCTTAAAACATCTTAGCAGGCATGTTGGGAGGACAGTGTTGTGTCTTTGTCAGTGCATCACATGAGGGGTCTCTGAAGTTGTTTTGTCTTCCATCAGTGATACTGTTCATCTCATTAGAAGGGTGGTATTCAACTTTGTCAGGGCACCTTTTCTCTTCCTGACTAGTAAGTAGTCTGTGCGGTAACACCTATGAGACTAGTGACTATCCTGCTCCCCCACTGTCTTTCACCCCGTGGTTTGAGTGTCCCCTGATGATTCTTCACTGAGTTCAATATTATTATGGTGGTTTTACATGAGGATTTTCTGTTTATATTACCCCTCTACATTCTTTAGTTAACATTCTTCTGTAGATATTTTCCTTTCCCTTTTAATTGCTTATCTATCTATCTATCTATCTATCTATCTATCTATCTATATCTATATATCTCTATATCTATATATATAAAAGGCTAAGTGACTGACGGTCCATCCATTCAACCATCCAGCTGACTGATTGACTGGCTGGTACATATGACGAGCACTGGCAATTGGGAAAAGCAAAACTAAAGAGGAGTAGAAGCAGAGAAAGGGAATTCCAAGAACGGGCTCAGCACATGCAAAGGCTTAGAGTCAGGAGTTGCCTATGTGAAGGGCCATTTTGAAATAGAGAATAGAGGTGTGGGAGAGAAAGCTGGAGCGTGGGCAGCGTCTTCAGAGTCAGAATGGGGAGCGTGCTGTTTTGCTGGAGAGAGGACACAGGTGTTAGTGAAGTGAAGTGAAGGTGAACGTGGTGGGCAGGCAGGCTAAATGGCCATCTCAGAAGTGATTAAAGAAAACTGAGTTTATTTAAGGAAAAGGAAGTTGGGGGTGGGGTATCCAAGGGGAAGTGCTGCACAGCCAGGAGCCAAGGTGCTGAAGGTGCACCGAGGACCTGCAGTTTCATCCTGATGTGCAGTCACGGGTGGGAATCTCTTGTTGTCAGTGGGTTTGGGGGCTGAGCTGGTGGGCTTGGAATGGAGATAGAGTGCAGGTGTGGGATCAGGGGGCTTCAGGACAGTTCCAGTTCCTTACATGGACTGATTCCTGGTGTCTAGAAAGCATTTCTGGTCTTTGTTCTCCTGTGGCCAGAAGCTTCCAAATGGCTGTCAAGGGTTTTATTGCCTTCTAGTCCTAAAACAGGAAATGCTGGAGGAACATCGATGCTCTGGGGAACCTACACAGGTAGTAACACAGAAGTTCAAGGCAAGGCATTTTGTGGGGAGATTAGAATCCAGTGGGTGCACACAGATACTTGAACTAATTGTTGGTGACAGCAGAAGGGAGGGAAGGTAGGAAAGTTCCAGGGACAATGTGGTTAATTTCAATGTGAGGGATGAAGGAAAGAAGGTGAAAGGGCGAGGGCTACGTCCTCCATCTTGCCCCAGGGTGAGAGCTACACCCTCCATCTTACCCCAGATCCTCCATTTTTGAGCAGCAGCCTTACCCATGTGCTTGGCAAGGAGCTTCTTCCTGGAAGCTCAAGCCTCTGCTAGCCACACCTAGGATTTCTTTAAACTAACCAATGATAATCAAGGGAAGTCCACGCCATAGATATGACCACATCCTGTGTAACAAGACACCAACTTGCGCCCGGCCAATTGGCAGAACCCACAGTCCTCTCTCCTCCCCTTACTCCCATCGCCTATAAAACCCCTCTCCACACAGAGCTCTTTCTCTGCCGCTTGCTGCTGCATCGGTGAGTGTGGTCAGGGAGCCGAGCTAGCTCAAATAAAGACTTTTTGCTTTTGCATCGGACTCGGCTGGCTCCCTGCTGGTCTTTTGGGGATCCTGAAATCTGGGCATAACATTCGGGGGCTCGTCCGGAATCCCCAAGACCCTCGAGGGACCCCCGATCTAGATAGTCTGTCTGGCCGCGGCAGGTGTCTGTGTGTTGTGCATTCTGTTCTGTGTGTTATATGTTCTGTACTGTGTGAGCTCACTTCTGAAATTCTGTAGTTCCTGAAGTGGTCTAGGTGGACGCACTGCTGAAGGACCATGGGCGGGGAGAGTCGGAAGACGTTCTGCTCTTCAGGAGGGATGCATATTCCCCTCACGAGGGATGTGGTTTCCCCTCGAGGATCTGAGACAAGGCGGGTCACTCCCGCTGGTTGGCAAACGGCCATCGTCTAGCTTTCGAGTTTGCTGCCATGGAGTTGGAAGGCTGTACTTTTTTGGGGGCCCTTTAGTTGTCTGTGTTTGTGTTGGTTTTTTTTCTGTTTTATTCTGTGGACTTACTTGACGGACATTATGGGACAAACTCAAAGTACTCCTTTAAGCATTATGGTCATTTTAAAGTCAAGGGCTGGGCCAAACCTGCTTGCCAGCCTCAGGTGTGGTTTTCCAGAACCACTGGAAACTTGGGACCTTGGAGTTTACTGAATTCAAATGATAAAAACTTATGTGTTCGTATTTTGAAGTGAAATAATGCTGAAATAATGCTAGAGGACAGAATTGAATCTGTTGGTTGATTATGTCTTGCATTTTGAAGTTTATTCTTAAAAATGTCACTGATTGAGAAATGCTGAAAATTTGACTTGCCAGCTAAAAGTTTAAGGTTCGGATTGAATTGGGAAAAATTGTGTAGTTGTGGTAGCTAAATGCCTTTGCTTATTGGTCTGACAAAAACCAGTTTAAATTTAATTGATATTCTTTAAGATAATTATGAAAGGTATAAACAGCTAATGAGATTTCAGTTTGTCTGCAATATAATGTTGGCCATCTATCTTTTAGGGATTTTGGTTTGCTCGGTCAAAAAAAACCAGTGTAGACAGCCACCATTTGGGCTGCATGACTTGGCAGCCACCATGTCAGCCACATGGCTTGCCGTGCCCCTGGGGACTGCCATATTGAAACAGCAAAAGGCCCCTCCCTCTGATTTAGCCAAAAGGGAATGTCTACTCACTGAGGCAGGATGGAATTTCAGGGGTGGAACTTTAAGGTGGAGTTTTACTACAGAAATGTGGATGGGGCAGAAAGTGTGCTTGCCTCGTGGATTTATTTAATACTATTTTTAA